GCTCCTCGATAATCTCACGATGTCATCTTCAATGCAGTAGTGGCACAGTTGGCACCAAGTCGCGAAATCAACAGTCTCCTTGATGCTGACGTAAGCCTTCAGCATGGCTCTACCATCCACATATCCACGATCGTTCCACGAGAGGTTGTCAATGAAGTAGAAAAGCTTCTTCATGGAATTGTCATCAAGCTTGTACTTCAGCTGCATTGTTTCCACAGCTGTGTGCAACCAGAACATGGCGTCCCAGACCATTTGCTGGACGTAGGCCTTCAGCTCATGCTTGATTACAGATGGAACTGATAATCTCTCGATGGACTTCTCCAGGTGTCGGATCATTGAATCATCCGGCAGAGGCGTTGGGCATATCAAGAGATTCGCGGTCTTGTAGAAATTTTTTATCTCTTCTTTACCTTGCGAATTTCTCCACAACAGTTGCACTGCTCTCACTGTTGCGATGTGCCTCAGTGGGAGCACGAATCTGAAGGGATTTCTCGCGGATGTCATTCTGCTGCGTTTTGCAGTGAGATTTATTGATGGATCAGATTGATGGATTTCACTCGTAACCCTATACGCTAGCTGCGTATCTCATAAAGAGCACTAGTAACGCCGCCTCAGCGGTGTCTTTTGGTAACTTTCGGGTGTTAATGACTAACTTCATAGCTTTATCGCTTGAATTTTGAATTCAAACTAAACCTTCAAACAGACAAGCAAGTTACATCATCCAAAGTAAAAACGACTGAAAAATGTCCATAATTTGATATGAATTTTGCAGTGATTTCATTCAATTCGAGTGTTGACATTCGAGTTCGAGTTATGACATTCAGTGACAAGTGAAAATTGAAAAAGAAATGTTTCAATCGTTTGTTTTTTCTGCCTATAATAAGTCATTTTCCGCCACAAGTGGCGCAATCGGCGGTAGGCAGCTAGCGTATACCTTTCATTTGAAAGTTTTTTCAATCCATAGTGTTATTATTGATTGTTTCCAATGTTGATTGACATTCGAACGCATCGGCTTGTACGGATTTCTCACCTTTTTCCAAATTTAGCGATCAGTCGGCCAATTTTTTAAGCAGATTTACCATCTGTTTTTTTTTTATGTAATTGCACTTTTACCCCATTCACATAACACGAAATAATCCGAGAATTTCCGATCATCTGCGATGAAAAAGAGAGGTTAGAGGAACAAAAACAAAAACATGCCTGTCGAGTGCTCCTCAAAGTGCGGAAAAAATGCCATTCTCAAGGTGAATTTCATTAGTAAATGAATAATTGTATTTTCGGAATTGATAATACTGAATTAATATTATGAAAAACGAATGAAAACTTTGATTTTACGCCGGACAGAGACCGAAGACTGGCGATGCCCTGTGCAAGGAGTGCTTCTTCTATGCCTTCGAGACAGAGATTCATCACACAATTGTCAAGGGAAGATTATTTAAACCGGGGAATAAAGTGGCCATTGGAGCATCTGGGGGGAAGGACTCGACAGTTCTTGCTTATGTCCTCAAATTGCTGAACGACAGGTATAATTATGGCCTGGATTTATTCTTATTGTCTATCGACGAAGGAATCACTGGTGAGTCACTCGTTTTTAATCATTTTGTCATTTAAATAATGCTTTTATTTATTGAACAAACAATTGAATAACATATTTGTTAAAATATGTTATTCAAATTTTTGTAATTGGTCTTCGAAGAATTTAACTATTTCCCATGAATAATTGGGGATTTTTCACTCTTAATTCCATTACAGGAATTTCCATGGTTTATTTTTCGATTTTTTCAATCGTTTAGAAAAGGAAATGTTTGATAAATTTATTAATTTACTTTTTTATGGGTCCTAATTGTTAAAAATAGTGAATTTTACATTGTTAATACTCTTTTCAAACGACTTTTCTTTGCATGAATTGCCTCTCAAATAATTATCTATCCCACAAGAATATCAGATAATTATTGTTTATAAAAATTGATGAATCAATTTCTCACATCTCATGAAACATGTAGAACACAAATGACTAGTATAAAATATCAGGAGGCACTTTCTATAACCGACAGTTCTTTGTTCTCGTCTGAAATTACTAATTATCAATTTAGTTCATACGTTCTATCACTTCACCAGAAATTTCATCTCAACATTTTGGAAATAATTTTGTATTCCATTTTTCAGGATACAGAGACGACAGTTTGAAGACGGTAGAGCAGAACAGGGATGACTACCAAATGCCCTTAAAAATTCTATCGTATAAGGATTTGTACGGATGGACGATGGATGAAATTGTCGCCCAGGTGTTTGCAATTTCACAACAATTGACAAAAAATTATTCTTAAAAATTTCAATTCAATTACTAACGTTAAATTTAACTTAACTTGACTTTAAATTCCATTTAACTCAACTTTTGATTTAATTTTACTAATATGATTCAATTCAATGTCAATCTAATAAAGTTATTCAATTTCTGCACGAATTTTCAGATTGGTAGGAAAAATAACTGCACCTTCTGTGGGGTATTCAGGAGACAGGCACTGGATAGGGGCGCCCAGCTCCTCAACGTGGACTGCATTGCCACTGGCCATAATGCTGATGACATAGCCGAGACGGTCCTGATGAACATCCTGAGGGGAGATATTGCAAGACTCTCCAGGTGCACTTCGATAATAACTGTAAATATACATTTTCACACTCTTCTTTCTGACTATATTTTTCTAACTATATTTGATCTTCAAAGAGCCGTTTACTTATTCATTTAATCAATAGGGATATTTCAAGGATTTTTTCGTTGTTTTATTTCATAATTCACGTGACATTATGCCTGAATTTAAGATAGAATTTTTAAATTGATGTCTTTTTTACTATAAAAATGTATGAAATATCCCGATTGCAAGGTGATGAGATGAGGTACTTCATTCAACCTGAAATTACAGGGATAATGAGTGGATTTATGAGAAAATACCAAAACACATTTTTCGTTGGGAATTTCGTAAACTGAATTTTGTTCTCATAATATTTTTCGCTAAAATGATTGATTCTCGAGATGAATGGCAAATAATAAAGAGTCTTGATAGTTTCAATAATACTTTTTCATAATCTCCATTCAATATCTCAAATAATGAAATCTGAATAAATTGCATATTACGCATTAGTGATGAAAAACCAATTTTACTGTTCATTTTCACGTTCACAAATCTCCCAATTTTGAAAAAAATATGACAACGTTCGTTAATTTATAAGTTTCCAAATACAAAAAAAAATGATGGAATATCTCCATTGCTGCCCATTCCAATCTTCATCTGCTCTGCCTTCCAGTCCGGCGCAGACACGATAATGCGCTGCAAGCCCCTGAAATACACCTACGAAAAGGAAATAGTGATGTACGCGTACTTCAAGAAACTCGTGTACTTCTCAACGGAGTGTGTCTTCGCCCCGAATGCGTACCGAGGGCACGCGAGGACTTTCCTGAAGGATCTGGAGAAGATCCGACCGTCTTCGATCATCGACATCATTCACTCCGGGGAGAGGATGGTCGTCGACACCGAGGGTGTGAAGATGCCGGTGAGGAGGAACTGCAGTCGTTGTGGATTCGTCTCCAGTCAGGAGATCTGCAAGGCTTGCATTTTATTAGAGGGTCTCAACAGGGGACTTCCCAAGCTGGGGATCGGAAAGTCGCAGAAGGCTCTGCAAATCGCCACCTCCAATATTTCTCCTGATTTAATTTAAGGGTGCCAAGTGAATTTGGCGATGACCTTGAAAATTGACATTCACCAACAAAGTTATAATTTTTTAAATTAATAGTATTAGACAGATGGTGAACATCGGTGACAATTTTTAAATTTTAGAACTTATGGATATCGAGAAATTAAATAAACAAAATCAGTCTTATATACGGCCTCTTAAAGAGTTTTGATTAAATTGAACGTTCAACCCCCTAGGAACTCCAGAAAAATTTGAAAAAATTTGAAGATATGGGGAATGATGTGTTCAATGTGATGGCGACAAAAAACAATGGGGTACCGGGGTGAATAAGAGAGATATTTCAACCCGCCGTACCCATTTGATCCCATGCTTTCTCGAGATTCGTCACGCGAAACAGAGGACTTTCCGCATTTATTTTCTCGATGTCTAGTTCTGGTTGCGGATTTGAAATTTCGTCGGATGGATGAATACATATATCTCCAATGATGGAGGGAAAGAAAAATTTTTTTTTGAATCTTCTTTCAAATTCACTTGGCACCCTTAATGTTCAGTACCTTGAATACATCTAGGGCAAATTGTAAGATAAAGTATTTTTGTAGGGTGAATAAATTACAGGAAAAGTAGTGGATTGCTTTGACTTTTTAATTCCTCTGAAAGTTGAACTCGTCATGAACATCATTATTTGAAGAAACAATTTGTGGATGATTGAATTTTTTAGTGATTTATGCATATTATTTTTGATCATTATCTATTCATTTATTTGTTCATTAAAAAGGAGTGAATGTCCGCTTTTATTATGTTTAGATTTGAGAAAATTTTGAGGTATCATCTTTAAAAATCTTCACGACGTTAAGGTTTATGTGATGAGGCACATCTAACATCTGTCGTCGTCCCTCTCTCCAAGAAAATCAACCGAAAATTTCCACAAAATCAACTTTTCGCTAGAACGCAAAAAGGGGACGCCAGCCAGAGTTTCGAATCGAAAATCTCTCCATCCATCCCTTCACTTCGCCCAATATAATCCAGTCCACCCCCAATAAAATTCTCCTGCAGTTCGTATCAACACTATGAAAAAAAAAATTCTCAACAATTAATCAGTGAAGCTTCATCAAATGATGTAAGCCGGATTCTTGTGCTCGATGGTTGCCCTGCAGACCGGGCAGCCGTTGTCAATGTCATCCGAGCAGTCTTCGCAGAGGCAGACGTGTCCACAGGGCAGTAGAATAATTTCTCTGGGGTTTGTCCTGCAAACAACGCAGAGTTGATCCTCCCTGAGGTCGTTCTCCCTCACCCTCTGTCTCCGCTCCTTCCTGGACTCAGCGAGACTCCTCCTGAGTTGCTCGGCGAGCCTCTGCTCCTCTCGATCCTTCCAGTACCTCCTGACGACAATTCCACCGATGACTAGACCGATTGCTCCGAACATGAGGCATAAGCAGCGATAGATTCGCCGACGTTCGTCGAGCTTGCGGAGGAGAGAGCCCACGGACATTGTTGTGAGGTAGAACGGAGTGTTGAGGGGCGGTTGCAGTATGAGTTTGTCTGGGGACTCGGGGGAGGTCGAGAGCTCACCCAGGGCGGTGATGGTGACACCCTCGCGGAGCATCTCCTCGGTTGACTGGAGACCTCTTTGACGGACACCTTGAAGAATTGAGAATGAAGGTGGTTTATATTGCTTCCGAGTGGAAGCATTGTACTGGTCAAATCCGAAATTTTACATTGTTTCCGTCAGGATAACTGATTTTGGCCTTCGAAGCTCGAATATACTATTTTTCGACCATGTCCCGATGTATGTGCGCATGCATGTGTGTGTGTGCGTGTATGTGGCGTTTTTTTACGATAACTGAAAAAATAATTGTTTAAATGAATCCAATTGTGATTTGAAATATTCTTTCCAATGACATCGTGAACGAATTCGATCGGGAGATTGATTGCATTATCTACTGTTGAAGCAATTCATTTTGAAACTGATATTCAGGGGAAGATGGACAATTTCAATGTTGGGGCAATGTTGGCACAATGGTGGCTACTAATATTGGGGCGATGTTGGCTATCAACGTTGGGACAATGTTGGCTATCAGCTACCAATGTTGGGTAAACGTTGGGACAGTGTTGGCCACCAACTTTGGGACCATGTTGGCTGCCAATTTTGAGATGTTGATTGCCAACATTGGAGCAATGTTGGCTCTCAACGTTGGGGTAATGTTGGCACAATGTTGGCTGCTAATATTGGGGCGATATTGGCTACCAATGTTGGGGCAATGTTGACTATCAGCTACCAACATTGGGACAATGTTGGTTGCCAACGTTGGGACCATGTTGGCTCTCAACGTTTAGGTAATGTTGGCTACCAATGTTGGGGCAATGTTGGGACAATGTTGGACATCAGCTACCAATGTTGGGAAAACGTTGGGACCATGTTGGCTGCCAATTTTGAGACAATGTTGATTGCCAACATTGGAGAAATGTTGGCTCTCAACGTTTGGGTAATGTTGGGGGAATGTTGGCACAATGTTGGCTACTAATATTGGGGCGATATTGGAGCAATGTTGGATATCAACATTGGGACAATGTTGGCTCTCAATGTTTGGATAATATTGGCTACCAATATCGGGACAATGTTGGCAACTTATATTGGAACGATATTGGCTACCAATGTTGGGGCAATGATGGCTATCAGCTACCAACGTTGGGACAATATTGGGGCAATATCGGCTACCAATGTTGGGGCAATGTTGGCAACCAACATTGAGGCAAGATTTTAATTGATCCGGTTAGAAATGATCGCGATCTTTCGAATGGGAAATCATCGATTTTTTATCAAAATTTTTGCAAAAATTATTTTTGGTTAATGGTTAATGGAGTATTTACCAGTAAAAAATCCCCAGATGTGATCAGTTATCGTTGGTGCACTGGGTTTAAACTCGTCAGAGATGACGTCCATGTCCAGAATTTCTGCAGTAAGAGGTTCCAGGATCTCTACACTGTGTTTTCCTTGCCTCAGGGCAAACGGAACTGTTTTATAGATCTTCTGCATCGTCCTCTCCTGAGCAGACCTTGAAAATTCCATCGATTTACTTAATTTTCAGCAGCAGATAACAATTAATTTTTAATTAAATTCGAGAAAATGAAGGCAGACCTCGGCATAATCATGAATTTTAAATACAATTAATTTTTTAATTAGTCAATCAGTTAATATTACTAAACAATTCCTAAATTATTGAATTAATCATCAATTAAATATTTACAATCCTAATTATTTAATTCATAGTCAACTGAAAATTCAGTGCAATAATAAAATCAATGATTTTTTATTATTTTATTATTTTTCAAATTTTTATGAAGATAAGTAAACTTCGATTATGTTAAGGTGCAACTTCTCGCAATATTGATAATCTAATTATTGATGTCGATCCCTGAGTGAATGTCGTTTGCAACTTTTCTCTGGATTCAACTCCTGTTCTTCATCATTTCATCATTGGAATAATTAACTTGTGGAGTGATTTCTATTTTATTCATTATTTACCAGAATCCAGCTGTCGTTCTGGCGACCACATGCTCCTTCACCGAGAGTTTCTGAACAACTCCTGAGATCGATTTATCATGTACTCCGTAGAGAGGCTTTCCAATAGCTGAGACTGGGCCTCTCAGGGCTACGTATTCTATTTTATTCTCTGGTCTCTCCTTTATCACTAGTTTTAGGTTCTCACCGATTTCATAGACTTCTGCATTCTAAAAATATTGAAGAATATTGAAAAGAGGAACAATAATTCGATCTTATTATTGAACGATACAACTTGGGTTTATTAAAGTATGAGATCACTCTTCCTGGAGAAAATTGAGAACGTGTCTGAATAAAAACCGAGTCTAATTGCTCTTAAGAAAAGTGTCCTATTTATTCACCTGGCTTCCAATAAACAAATCAACAAAATCACAGAAATTATAGTGAAATCTAAATTTATTAATCCAAAATTTTGGAGTACAGAGATTTTCGACGAATTAAATGAGCACCTGCCAATCAACCTCGACTTCAATAATCAATTTAAAAATTAAAAAAATAATTAAAGATGTGAAAACAAAGGAAAAGGCATTTTAAGCCATATCACTAGTTTCAGGTTCTCACCAATGTCGCAAATTTCTGCATTCTAAAAATTTGAAGAGGATTGAAAACAGCAAAAACAATTCGATCATATTATTGAACGATAAAACTTGGGTTTATTAAACTATGAGATCACTCATCAGAAAAGTGTCCTATTTATTCACGTGGCTTCCAATAAACAAATACACAAAATTACAGAAATTATAGTGAAATCCAAATTTATTAATCCAAAATTTTGGAGTACAGAGATTTTTCACGAATTAAATGAGCACCTGTCAATCAATCTAAACCTCAATAATCAATTTAAAAATTAAAAAATAATTAAAGATGTGAAAGCAAGGGAAAACGCATTTTAAGCCTAAAAAAATAATATTACGCACCTTAACAGCTTTCAGGGAATTTCGGCAGTGAAAATAGTGTTTCAAGCATATTCCAAAGATCAGGCTATCGAACCCCAGTGCCAGGGCCTCCCCAAGGTACTCCATGATGCCCAAAAATCCCTGGAAATCCCCCGATTCCCTGCGAGATCCTCTTAACCTCAAAAGTCCAAAATTTCCTCCCAAAACCTCAGAAAAAAATTTATTCTTCGCTCCTTCCAATCACAAAATCTCCCCAACGGCTGTCTTTACTCACTTCCGGCCCCTGGGGTCTCAATCAACATTAAAAATCCTCAAAACTCCAAAGAAATAGCCCTCAACGTTTGCTGTCAATTTTCTTTGCTCCTCGAAACCCAAAACTTGCGAATTATTAAAAAATCATTGCTCTAATTTCCAAACAACAATTTTGCATTATTCGCTGGAATTTTGGAGGACCCCCAGACACCCCCGGGGTCCATTCAACCCCCGAAGACACTGTCGGAGAAATAAAAACAATTTTGACCAAATCTTTTCAATAATCGCGTCGATAAAATAGAAATTTTATTTGTTGACTGGGTAAAGATCGGTTCTGTTCCGGAAATTTGAATTTATGGGGTTGATTTCACCCCCATTGAAGGTTCCAGATGTTTTTAAAGAATTGTGGGGCCCATTCAACCCCTTTCAAGGCCCTTTAACGTTTTCAAAGTCATGAAGAAGAAATTTTTTGGTTATTTTGTGGAAATTGAAATCGTTGAAACAGAGATTTAGGACTTGGATTTGCGTTTCTGGTGTCATTTCCACCCCCACAGGATCTCAGAGATGTTTTTCGATGGTTCTGGGGGTCACTCGGACCCCAGTTGATTCCCGAAATGTTCTTCAGGATCTCTTGGGTCCTTTCAACCCCCACAAATTTCCCTAAACGCTTAAAATAAATTCAGTAGTGAAGTGGAACTTATCTCCCAGTTGAGTTTTTGAGGAATATTTCCGATTCTAAGGGAGATAGCGAAATTTTCGTAATGACATTTGTTGTAGCGCTCAATAGGCTCCACAAAAAAGGTTATAACAAAAAATTTGCTATCTCCCTTGGATTCTGAGATATTGATTGAAAACTGGTCAATAGTCAAAATTGACTCAGGGGAGGTTGGGCTAAAATGAACACTTCTGACTTTTTTTTAAATGTTAATGACGGGTTGAAATGTTGATAAAATTTAATAATTTTTACTTCATTGCAAAGAACGATTCTTTCCCTTTGTGATGAGCCTAAACTTAGCTGAATTGATAAATTTGTTTCTGAGTTATGAGTAGGGGAAGTTGGGGTAAAACGGACACTTTTGACTTTTTTTAAAATGCTAATGAGGGGTTGAAATGTTGATAAAATTTAATACATTTTTTTTAATACAAAGAACAATTCTTTTCCTTTGTGACGAGCCTAAACTGAGCTCAATTGATCAATTTGTTTCTGAGTTATGACTAATTTTAAAAAAGTCTAAAGTGTCCATTTTACCCCACTCTCCCCTATCGCCTTTTACCCCCGACTGAATCCTGACTGCAAAATTTTCCTGATGCAAAATCCCCCCCCCCCCCACCGCCCCCCCCCTTAAACGCCATCCGGATCCCCCTCCCCAATTATTGAATAAATTAAAAAAAATTCTGAAATTCCAAAAATTTCCAAAAATTATTTTAAAAAAATCCGGATTGTAAACCAACATTTGCTCCTCCCCCCCTCCCGCCCCTTGTTCCACGCCAATATACTCCAGCCCCTTAAAAAAATCCAAAAATGCAAAAACTGAAAAATAATGGAAAATAATTAAAGATGTGAAAGCAAGGGAAAACGCATTTTAAGCCTAAAAAAATTATATTACGCGCCTTAACAGCGTTCGGGGAATTTCGGCAGTGAAAATAGTGCTTCAAGCATATTCCAAAGATCAGGTTTTTTTTTTTCTTTGACTGAATTACACCCGATAAAAAGGGGATTCACCTCATCAACGACTGGGAACGTTCTCTCCATCACCGGAAGTCATTGCTCTGATCGCGAAACAGTGGGGGTACGTCTCCAACACTCGTTCATTCTCCCTAACCTCTCGGTGAGCCCCGTAATCCGACAAACCGATAAAAACTGCCGACGGAATTTCGACAATTGATTAATTTACTGGTTCTTCTCCTTTAGATTAATCGAGTGAGTTGTAGTGGTTGATTAAATGGCGTCGTTGAGCAGTGTCAGACTGTTGTCGAGGGGCACCGGGTGCATCAGGGGAATCAATGCAACGGGATTCAGGGCTCGGAGCCAGGCGCTTTTCGCCTCCGCCAACGGATCCCGACTCATTCACACGAATTTCAGGGGGGCCAAGGCACTTCTCGCATCCACCAATGTTCAGGTATTTAGTCACTCACATTTTAGTGAATTCATTATTTTATTGGCGAGGGAAGTGGTTGTGGGTCTTATGTAACTGCGGCATCAAAACATTTTTATAATTTTTTTTTTCAGTTTTTGCATTTTTGGATTTTTTTAAGGGGCTGGGGTATATTGGGCGGAGCTGGGGGCGGGAGGGGGGAAGAGCAAATTTTTGTTTACAATCGGGATTTTTTAAAAATAAGTTTTGGGAATTTTTGGAATTTCAGAAATTTTTTTAATTTATTCAATAATTGGGGACGGGGATCCGGGTGGCGTTTGAGGGGGGGGGGGGAATTTTGCATTTACCAGTCAGGATTCTTCATAAATGTTCTTGGAATTTTTGCGAATTTTTAAGAATGGAATTTTTTAATTTTCAGTATTTTTTTAATTGTTCTGCAGGGGTGGGGGCCCTTGCGGGTGGGATATGAGGGTTTGAGGGGGAAAGATGAAACAATTTTGTATTTGCCAGTCAGGATTCTTCATAAATGTTTTTGGAATTTTTGTGAAATTTTAAGAATTTAGATTTTTTTGATTTTGAGCATTTTTTAAATTGTTGGGCAGGGGGTGGGGCCCTTCCGGGTGGGATATGAGCGTTTGAGGTGGGGAGATGAGACAATTTTGGATTTGCCGGTCAGGATTCTTCATAAATGTTTTTCGAATTTTTGTGAATTTTTAAGAATGGAATTTTTTAATTTTCAGTATTTTCTTAATTATTGGGCAGTTGTGGGGGCCCTTGCGGGTGGTATATGAGGGTTTGAGGGTGGGAGATGAAACAATTTTGGATTTGCAAGTGAGGATTCTTCATAAATGTTTTTGGAATTTTTGTGAATTTTTAAGAATCTAGATTTTTTTTATTTTCAGCATTTTTTAAATTGTTGGGCAGGGGGTGGGGCCCTTACGGGTGGGATATGAGGGTTTGAGGCGGGGAGATGAGACAATTTTGGATGTGCCAGTCAGGCTTCTTCATAGATAGTTTTGGAATTTTTGCGTATTTTAAAGAATGGAATTTTTTAATTTTCAGTATTTTTTTAATTATTGGGCAGGGGTGGGGGCCCTGGCGGGTGGGATATGAGGGTTTAAGGCGGGGAGATGAGACAATTTTGGATTTGCCAGTCAGGATTCTTCATAAATGTTTTTCGAATTTTTGTGAAATTTTAAGAATTTAGATTTTTTTGATTTTCAGCATTTTTTAAATTGTTGGGCAGGGGGTGGGGCCCTTACGGGTGGGATATGAGGGTGTGAGGTGGGGAGATGAGACAATTTTGGATTTGCCAGACAGGATTCTTCATAAATGTTTTTCAAATTTTTGTGAATTTTTAAGAATGGAATTTTTTAATTTTCAGTATTTTTTTAATTGTTGGGCAGGGGTGGGGGCCCTTGCGGGTGGGATATGAGGGTTTGAGACGGGGAGATGAGACAATTTTGGATTTGCCAGTCAGGATTCTTCATAAATATTTTTGGAATTTTTGTGAATTTTTAAGAATCTAGATTTTTTTTATTTTCAGCATTTTTTAAATTGTTGGGCAGGGGGTGAGGCCCTTACGGGTGGGATATGAGAGTTTGAAGCGGGGAGATGAGACAATTTTGGATTTGCCAGTCAGGATTCTTCATAAATATTTTTGGAATTTTTGTGAATTTTTAAGAATCTAGATTTTTTTTATTTTCAGCATTTTTTAAATTGTTGGGCAGGGGGTGAGGCCCTTAAGGGTGGGATATGAGGGTTTGAGGGGGGAGATGGAACAATTTGGGATTTTCCAGTCACGATTTCTATAAATACTTTGGCAATTTTTGTGCTTTTGATTTTTTTGATTTTTTGTGATTTTGAATATACTTTGGTTTGACTCCCCAACAAAAGTATATTCACATCTCTCATAAATCCAGGCAATAACAGTAAGACAAGAAGAAACCTGGCCCCCCAAGAAGAAATTAACTCCCAATGAAATCGAGGAGAGAGTTTTAAAAGTGGTGGCAGCATACGACAAGATATCAGCCGATAAGGTGACTATTAACCACAAAAATTGTATTTTTTATGTGCAGGGGCCACGAGTCGAGCTGACACGTTTCTACAGTGGTAAACAACCATTGACACTCGATTTAATTCGTGAAAGGGTTCTCTTGGTCCTCAAACTCTATGACAAAGTCGATGTGAATAAGGTATCATTGACTCGTGGCTCTTATCCCAATTATCATTAATTATTCATTTATTTTTCAACAATTCATCGACTTTTCTATCGATCTCGTTAACTGTCGATTGAAAAATCAATGATTTGGGGGGGAAGATGGAGAGGTATGGGGTCGAAAATGACCCCACTGTATAGCCCGGAAAATTTCCGACTCCGGACCCTCTTGTTGAACCCATTTTGCCCCGTTTGTTTTTAAAAAACCGAGGACTATCGATTCGAGTGTGAAAATCGTTTTTTCCCGGGGAGGGGATGATTGATGGGGCAAAATGGGTTCGTGACCGGGGGTTGGAATAGGAAATTTTCCTGGCTATGCAGTGGTGTTGTCCTTTTTGCGCTATCTCTTCTGATTCCCGAGATAACGACGATTTTGTGATGGGAGAATTTTTGTTCAGCTGTCACTGGATTCTCACTTCATGAATGATCTGGGTCTTGACTCTCTGGACCATGTGGAGGTCATCATGGCCATCGAGGATGACTTTGGGTTCGAGATACCCGACGTTGATGCTGAGAAACTCATGAAACCCGGGGACATTGTACGCTACATCGCTGATAAGGAGGACATCTACGAATAGAGATTAATTTCCGACATTTTTTTTTCATAAAAAAACCAAATAAGAAAAGAATGATTTGATATTAGTGCGCTATCATCTCAACTGGATTCCTTTTTCTTCTGTACATAGAATAAATAAAACGTACGTGTCGTTAGAATTATATTTTTCGATTTTTTTTCACCTTTTACGTGCTTTTTCTCCTTTTGCCATATTTTTAATTTTATCGTTTTATAAAATTGGGGATTACTTTTGATTGAATCCGTGGATTTTTATGAGTCTAATCTCACGTTGAAGGGCATGAAATTGTCTTTAAAATGAGGCGTCACAGCCTCAATTAGCTCCGGTCGTTGGTGTGTAATCCATTTGTTAATTAAGAAATTGAAGAAAAATTTCCGTTGGCTTCAATCGGCGATATCTTTGGATTGCATCGATGGATTCGAATGAGTCAAATTTCGTTTCGAAGAGCATGAAATTATCTTTGAAATGAAAGGTCACGCGCTCAATTCGCTCCACCCATTCCCAACTAATTAATTTGTTGATTAAGGGTAGAATCAGTTATCGACGTTTTACATTGAAAAAACAGTTTCTTACGTTAGACATCGCATCGTATTTTATTTAAAATAATTCTGTCTACACTCACATGTGTGGGAGGGGCTCGTGGAGTTGTGAACATCAAAATCAATTTTCCATTATTTTTTTTTTATAATTTAATCAATAAATTATTGTTTGGATTGAGTGAGTCTCGTGGTAACTGTAAACAAAAATTATGGAACGATCAGGTGATGGGCAGAACACAATCTTCGGGTGATGAAACAGCTTTTATCTTCATTTTGTCAACATTTTCAACGATTTTTTTTCATTTATTTTATTTATTTGTTTATAACGTTTTCTCCTCTAGAAGCTAAAAAATTGTTAATTATAATTGATAAATGGAAGCATATAAGTCACTTGTGTTTTATGAAACATTTCACTCAATTTCATTTCTCGGAATAAAAACAAATTGTTTATCATTTTTGCCAGTTTTTTTTTTAATTTTAGTATTTACTGGCATTTTCATAATCGGAAATATGAATTAATCAATTATCACGTGATGAACCAATTAGTTGTCAATAAATAATTCAATAATTAATTAGTTCATTAATAATAATTCATCAATTGATTAATTATTGAATATCAATTATTGTTTTCTTTTCCACTGAAAAAAATTAATGGTTCTTTCGACTGAATACAATTACTCTGCCAATTTTTCTACTCACTTTAATCAATTTTTTAAATAATTAATTATTTCAATTCTTGGATTGTTTAATTTTCAAAAATTATCAATGTTTAAAAAAAAGTTTAATGCAAATCTTGGCAGTGCCTCAATTACTTGCCATTGCTTATTGTTGCCCACATAACCATAAACTTCGTTAATTGATTCTAATTAATTTTTTATCAATTGTTATTGTTAATTAAGCATGGCAATGTTCGTTATGAATTTTCTCACATCAATGATTCGTAAAAAATTGTTATTAATTAATCAACATGATAATTACCAGGTTAAGTGATCCTAATGATTAAATGATTGTTAATTCGATGGATTAGTTAGAGAAGCCTCAGGGGAGATTGTTTATTAATAATTTTTTTATTTTATCATTTTTTTCGTCTTTTCGCATTATCATCATCGTTCCTTCACTAAATTACGATCTAAAATGGTAATTACTGTTAACCCACCTCGTCTCCCTAATTTTTTCGCGGGTGGATTGGATGGAAATTGGCTCGAGCAATTGTTTAAACAATTTTTCAATTGTTGTTAATTATTCGGTGCTGATGACTTCGGGAATTTCAGAGGTAGAGGAGAAAGTTTAGGGCGAAATATGTGGGTGTTCTCAAGACGAACATTTTTTGTTGGAGTTCAATTAATCCAATTGTTTAAACAAATTACTTCAGACTTTCAATTATTCATCATCTTCAATTGCAGTTATCCCGACTACTAATTGAGCTATATTGCTGAGTCAAATTTCAAATTCTTCGTCTTCTCAAGACGCACATTTTTGTCTCCTAGTATTTCTCTCTATCTGGATTATTTAAAGAGATATAGGCAATTGTTTAAACAAATGAATTTGCATTTTCAATTATCCTCAATGTTCAATTGCCAATATCTCGGCTTCTAATTGAGCTAGAATGGCGAGTCAAAGCTCAAAATACTCATCTTTTAAAGTCGAAAATTCTGAACCCGGGCCATTTTTCTCTATCTCGATTATTACCACCAATATCGCCAATTATTTAAACAAATAATTGCCAACTCTCAATTCAAAATCTTCAATCGTAAATATCTCGTCTTCAAACTGCCCTAGACCAATAAATCAAATTGCAAAACATTCGTCTTTTCAAGACGCACACCGCCTTCTCCCTAAAACTCCCACCCCCCTCAATGACAACCCCCAGAAATAAATTTCCCCAAAATCTCCATCAAATCCACCCACAGAATAGTATTTATACACAATTTCACCTAAATACCGCAGATAGTAACTGAAAAGAGCCATCAGTAAGTCATTTGCACCTAAAAATAACGGGAAAAGCCCCAAAGAAACCTCAAAAATCCTCAAAAACCACAAAATTAAATTTTTTCATAAACTGAAGAATCACCTCGATGGCTCTCGACATATCTCCCAGCATCACCTCATTAAGCACAACATTTTTTTTTGTTACAAAAGTGTGTGAATTAACTATGGGTCCCCTTACAAAACAAAAATCATTAATTATCATTAAATTTTCCATCCCTTATCAATTAATTTTAAATCGAATATCCGATAATAAGTTAATGATTTTTAATTATTCATTTACTCACGACATAGTCTCACCTCCTAATTGTTTATTTATCCAGTGATTCAACATAAATAATTCCATAAATTAATGATTAATCAATTGTTTGTGTAATTAAAACCGAATTAAAGCTGAAAGTGAAAAATGAAAATTGAAAATTCTGATCATTTCGATTTTTAATGAAAAAAAAATTATTAAAAATTGTTCAGTCACTGGATAAATTCATGAATTATCAAATATTTATTAATATTACGTCTGAGAATGTAACATGTCAATTACGAAATTTTAATCAAGGAAATGAACTGTTTTTCGCCAAATTCTTTCGCTATTTCGTTTAAAAAAATGAACAAAATTCGGGGGATTTTCGTCGTATGACGATTAATCCATGAACACTTGGGCAGTTATCGAGTTTAAGTGGTCGATTACATGTCAATTATTCCAATCGTCAATAAATTAATTAGTTAATCATTCGAAACAGACGAAAAAATGCGGTAAAATTTTCGTTTTCACCTCCTGTTTCGACTGATTAATAATTTTTCTCGTTAATTCCACACTGTTTACTGTTTACTCTCATCATTACTTCATTTAAAAAATCCAATGATTGCGTTTAGGAACTCTTATTCATACGAAATCAGCCTTCAATATTTTCTCAATGAAATTTTCGTCAATTTTTTTCAATTTTCCTCTCACTTTCGGGAAAATTACGAATTTTTCGCTGTGTGGAGGCTCCAGCAATCGATGAACAAACGTTAATTAATGATAAAATTGCGTCGGCATAATCAATAATTAATTAAAAGAAAAAAAATTATTTATACGAGAAAAAATTTGCTAACACCCAGAATCGTCGAGTGCAATTCCACGTAAAATTCCTCCACCATTTTTTTAAATTAAAAAAATGTTTAAATATCAGTAATAGGATAATTTTTCTTCTACGTTATCCAATGAAAAATGGGTAATCGAGGGGATTCATTGAATTAATTAGGTTTATCCTTCCCTGAGATCGAAGGATCGTGGAAACTCGACTGATTCTATGGGAGAAAATTATAAAGAGTTCGTGGTAATCTAGGGCTAATTAATTATTTCGTTAATTGGGGGCGATTATTAACCTATCTCTATCATCTCTGCGTCTTCTATGCTGTTGTGACCGACTCCGTTGTGCCTGGAAGAGAAAAAAAAATCGTAACTTGATGATTTTTTATTTTTAAAGGAATTTTTATTAGTGAAATGAGGCATTTAATGATTTAATAATTAATTAGTTCATCAACAATTATTAATTAATTAGTTAGTGAACGTCAATGTATGAATTTTTCTAGCTGAAAAAATTAACTGGGCTTTTCACTAAAAAAAGACCCATCAATTTTTATTGTTAATAATGGCAATTATTGTTATCATTAATTTTGGGGAAAAAAATTCGTGAATTGATTATTTTGGATTTTTCAAAGCAATTTTTTTAATAGAGACATTTGATGATTGAATAATTTAGTGGTTGATTAATAATTTTAATTAATCAATTAATTATTGAATCTCAATGAATGAATTTTCCCGATTAAACGAAAATTAATTATTCTTCCCACTAAAATCTATTACTCCCCAAATTTCTCTGCAAGTCATCAATTTTTTGAGTCATCAATTAATTCCATCCTTCGATTGTCAATTTTTTTTATTATTAATCTATGAAAAAAAAATTTCAAGAGACATTTGTTGCAGGGAATTAAAGCCTCTTCAAAAATTTGTTTAATGATATTTCACCTGAAATTCTTCCATCCCCAGATAATTATACAATTATCAACACGTAAAATCGAATTTACCGCAATTTTTTACAATTACATTTTAATGATAATGTAAAATGATAATTTTCTACCTGTGATGATGGTGAAAATGATTACTTCGAGGTGAGAAGCTCTTCAAGTGACTCCTGCGGGGGCTCCTGGCGTGTACAACACGAGGTTGATACATATCCTCTAGAATACTCGGTGCAACATAGGTGAATCCCTGTGAAAATTCCCCAGTAAATCAAATTTTCATCCACCAACGATCCAATCAGAGGGAAAAATTGTTACTATGGCACAAATTGTTATTAAATGATTTTAAAGAAGTTTACCATAAATTAATCACAGTTCCTTACTTTTCGATTTAAATTTGAAAATAATTTTCAATTCTCAATTATAATTAAGCTATTAATTCTAAATATCTGATAATTTATTATTGATTTATGAAATATTTGAAAATTAAAAAATTTGATTTAGGATTGATTTAGTATTTGAAAATTTTTTAATGTTGATTGATAATTCATATAATAAAATTTATAATAAAATTGAAAAAAAAAAAATTCTCAATTATAATTAAACCATTAATTCTAAATATCTGAATTTGATTTTTCAATTAATCACACAATCCTCATTCTTGCGATTTTGATTACTGATTTATAAAATATGTGAAAAATTAAAAAAATTGATTTTTGATAAATTTCATATTTGACAAATTGTACAGTACAGTTACCCAATTTGACAAGTAACAAAATAGTTTTAATTCTGTATTACGATTTTCCCCGTCTCTGCAATCAATTAGCCTCAACTGAATTAATTACAATTAATTTTCGCAGTTAATAACAATTAATTGATTAAATCAGCCGAGTCAATCCTCCATCCGTCCAATCCAACGCCACCCCTCCCCTCCCCCATTATCTCGAAAAATAAATTGAGACAATTACCTGGAAAACTCTATTAGCACTCTCGCTGAGTGTGTACTCAGGGGGCGAATCAATAGGAGCAGAATTGGTGAATTTCTTGTCAAACTGTGAGACATCGTCTTCACTGGTCAATTTGGGTCTGAAGGGTGGCTCAAGCTTCCTCGAGATGACGTCGTTCCAGTTGATATGCCTGAAGAACAGGTGATTCTTGACCTGCTCAGCGTCTGAGGGTGCAGAGCCCAGTCTCTGAGGGACTTGCCTCTTCAGGAGCTTCCTGATGAGGTCCCTTGCGTCGTGGGTGAGGTAAGGGGGCAAAATCAACTTGCCCTTGAGGATCTTCTCGATGGTCTTCCTCCGGTTTTCCGAGGTGAAGGGGGGAGAACCTGTTGACAGATCATTCCGTCGTCATGACTAATAGAATTTTTCAGTCTGGAAATCTAGGGGAAATATTTATTCCGTTCATTTGACCAAAAAATGTCTGAAGAAATAATTAAAAATTGTGATGAGTATTGAAATCTAGGGGAACTTTACTACGTTTGTTGGACTGGAAAACCCTCGGAAAAATAATGAAACATTCTGGTACATATTGACATTTAATGTTTTTTTTTCATCTTTCTCTGGATGTTTTTTTTTCACCTTTCGTCATCTGAAATTGTTAATCAAGTCCTGCATCATGCAGAAGTTTTGAAATATTGATGCAGAAGATTGAAAAATTATTTTTTGAGCCATCACTAATTCCATTTTGATGACAATATTTTGAGTGATCGTTGAAAAATCGATTCTTGGGAGAATATCAATTTTTTCAATTTATCAATGAGAAATTGAATTTTAATTGGTGTCAACGAACAAAGCTTAAATGTCTGAAGAAATAATTGAAAATTGTGATGAGTATTGAAATCTAGGGGAACTTTATTACGTTTGTTGGATTGGAAAACTCTCGGAAAAATAATGAAACATTCTGGTACATATTGACATTTAATGTTTTTTTTTTCATCTTTCTCTCGATGTTTTTTTTTCACCTTTCGTCATCTGTAATTGTTAATCAAGTCCTGCATCATGCAGAAGTTTTGAAAGATTGATGCAGAAGATTGAAAAATTATTTTTTGAGCCATCACTAATTCCATTTTGATGACAATATTTTGACTGATCGTTGGAAAATCGATTCTTGGAAGAATATCAATTTTTTCGAATCTGTATGAGAAATTGAATTTTAATTGGTGTCAATGAACAGAGCTTAATAAAGTCTACAGGATGAACCAACCAGTGGTCGAACCAGACCAGTAATCGAACTAATTGGTACTTTTTCTATAAAATAAATGAGTAGAAGGTAGAGATTCCTCACATTATACATGAAAACTAAAATTATGACATTTCCAAATGATATTGTGATGATTGAAAATGTCTAAGTTACATTATTAACAGCGGAAAAAACAGTTTTCGATGACACGCCGCCATAGCATTACAGAATACGCAGTTCGATTACTGGGTTTTCACACATTTTCAGCTTTTTGTATTCATATCATTAATTGTATCGTCAATTAATATCCATAATATTTTTTTCTGTTATCTATGGAGATGTACAGGGGAGTTATAATTATTTTTAAATCCATTTTCGACTTGGTTATATTTTTAAATCTACGTTAAAAATGCCTGTGACGTTATTCGTTCGAACACTGGACGATTCACCCTATTCATGAAAAAAATAATGAAATAATGATTGATTCCTTTCAAGAAAATTGGAAAAAAAAATCAATAAAAAATGAAAGAATGACAAACAAATGATAAAAAAATAAATCCTGTCACTCACCCGTCAGCATGTCGTACATGAGCGTCCCCAGGCTCCACCAGTCCACAGCTTTTCCATGTCCACTCCTCGTAAGTATCTCAGGCGCCATGTACTCAATTGTTCCGCAGAATGTGTGAGTCACCGAGCCCTCCTGGATGTGCTCCTTGCAGAGGCCAAAGTCCGTCAGTTTGATGTGTCCCTCAGCGTCCAGCAGAATGTTCTCAGGCTTGAGATCCCTGTAGATGATGCCCTGCTGGTGGAGATGCTGCAGTGCCAGGATTATCTCTGACAGGTAGAAGCACGCTGTCTCCTCCAGGAATATACCCTCGTCGTTCAGGTGACGGAAGAGCTCACCTCCACACATGTATTCCAGAATCAGGTAGAGCTTTCCCCCAGTCTGGAAGGCGTACATCAGGTCCACGATGAAGGGATGCTTAACAGCCTCCAGGATGTTCCTCTCGGCTTTTGTGTGCGCTGTGTCCTTCTGGTTGCGAATTATCGAGGCTTTTCGGAGCACCTGGAGACGGTGGAAGTCAATATTAATTTTTTTTTATCGGGAGGAGATCGGTTGAAATTCGATCAAACTAATGCAATTTGAGTGCAATTCAAATCATTTCAGTCATTTGTGAAATGATTTTTGGGGTTTCCTGGAAGGGGGTGGGGCAGAATGGGATGGTATATGGGTGATGGGGTAGTTGGGGATATTTCCGGCTCGAACCACAGGTCATGAACCCATTTTACCCCGGCGTTTCCTGATTTACGAAGAAAATACAGGTTTGATCGGAAAATTTAGTTTTTGGGGTTTCAGGGGAAGTCGAGGGTCAAAATGGGGTCAACACCGGGGGTTGGAGACGGCAATTGTCCTGGTTAAACCGTCGAAGGGGTCTCGCCCTGTCGCACGATCATTATCTCCAGAAATTCCCTCATAAATATACAATTGAATCGAATGCTCAAACATTCGAACAAAAACCCAGGGAAAAAGTTCTACACGCACTTCCTGGTTCTCTCCATATTCATGGGCTTCTTATCTCCCTGCTTCAGTCATTACTTGACATTTTACGATGACATTTTGTCGAGTATCGAATCTCATCCAGACGGACATCGATAAAAAACGTCACGAGAGTTTTTATGGATCGCGAGTGTATTGAAATTCACTCAATCTATTCCGCAGTTGAATGAGTGGTAAATTGTAGAGAGGAGCAAGTATTTTTTTCGTCTTGATGAATTGCAGATTGTCAGGGAGATGAGGAATTTCGGGAAAAAATTGCGAGAGATTCATTTTGCGGAGAATTAAGGCCCGAGTGTACTATCTTTCGAACGTTATCTCGATGTTTTTTTTTTCATCTTTCGTCGTCTGAAATTGTCAATTAAGTCCTGCATCATGCAGAAGTTTTGAAAAATTATGAATGAATAATTTTAAAAAAGTAGAAGAAATTCTTAATTTTTTCAAAGAGCATTTTTAATTTATATTCAGAATAAGTTGAATAACAAGAAATTGAAAAATGTATCTGATTTACGGTGACAAGTGGCGGCCTGTCACCCAATATCATGCAGGGGTAAGACTGATTTCGTAAATCTTCCCACACTGCACAGAGACATTTATTACGGAAAAGGCTCTTTGAAAAAAGTTGTAATATTTTGGAGAATTTTTTAATCACACTTTTATCACATAAAAATGGCAGATGACTACATACCACTGTTTTGAAAATTGAGATACCTAGCTGTCACTTCCCATGAGGAGTTAGTGTTTTGTTATCCACCATGGAAAATGACAGCTAATAGATAATTTGCCACAGCGAATCAGATATTTGTAATTTCCACTTTTTTCAACTCATTCTGAATCTCAATTAAAAACGCTCTTTGAAAAAGTTCAGAATTTTTTCTATTTTTTTTTATCATTCTATCATAATTTTTGGAAATTTCTACATGATGTACCACTCAATTGACAATTTTGGGTTACGAAAGATAAAAAAAATTCAGATAACATTCGAAAGATAGTACACCCGGGCCTTAAATAGAAAAAAAAAATTTTCTTCATCATCTCGGTTTTTTTATAAATCCTCACTATTTCCACCACAAGTGCTTAAAAAAATCCCCTGAAAGACTCCTCAAACTAAAAAAAAACCCCAAACCCTTTTAAAATGTGTCAGAATAATTTCCATAAACTTTCTTCCCCTCCCCACCCTCATCACCCCCAGACCTAAAACCAGAAATGATAATAACTTCTTCTATCGGGAAGTTAACAAAAAAAAATCCCACAAAATCAGCTCCAACTGATAAAAAATTTGAGGTTAAAATCCCCAAAGCCTTCAAAACGAATTTCAACTCATCTGAGTCACGTCACCGAGTCAACAGACATGGATGGCTTATCTGTGATCTTCCCAAGATCTTCCCACGTCTCCACAAGTCCCTCAACACCCCCTAAATCTCCAATAAACTCACCTTCATGGCGAAAATAGTTCCAGCATCGTTTCCAGTGACCTTTCTCACCTGGAAAACCTTTCCATATCCACCCTTACCAATGACTTTGCACAATTCAAAGTCCTGTGGACCAGCACGTTCCCTCCCACGGTTGACATTTTGTTCGGAAATGGCAACAGTCTCACAGCCATCAGCCCTTGATCAACAAAAAAAAATCATCAAAACATCCGAAAGACCCCCCCAAAAGCTCCAAAATAATCTCCACTCACTCGATGATTTCGTTGACGTTGGGATTGGAATCGTACTCTCCCTGAAAATAACAAGAAAAAAATTCACCTCAAATTTCCAATTTCATTCTATTTTTTTGCACCCAAAAATGCAAATTTAAGAGAAATGTGAATTTAAAATCCTTGGAGTGTCCAAGGGGGAAATAAAAAAAATGATCTCACCTCTCCAATCTCAATGACATCATCATCAGACTCCTCTCGTCCAACAGTATCACAATCGTGCAACTCGAAGGGAAAAAGTTCAGCCATGACTACCGAAATGACAATAAAAATACTCCAAAAATGTCTTCCACCCCTTCCTCAAGATAATTCCCTAATGTTGGGACCTCGTGCCACTCCAGACGGGACTGGACGACACCTCAAGCCCCCACTGACCTCCAGAATCCCTATTAGAGCCCTCTAACCTCATAAATTGTCACCCATTTGGCGCCCCGAGATGGTGGAAAAATTGGTGGTGATGTCGTTGAAATTTTACGGTTTTAAAATTGGAAAAATTGTTGGATAATTCACTGTTGTATATGGAATGCTAACAAAACCAGCTGTGGCTCTTTCAACACCTCCGCCAAGTTACCGCCCCCACTTGTCTCGAGTTTCGCCCCTGGGGAAGGGGGAGAATGAATTGGGGGGAGTGTGATTGGTGGTCGAACCGTCGCCAGGGTCGGCTGGCCAATCAGGAAGGGTTAAGGTCGCTTGGGGGATCGGCGATCCTTCGGGAAGGCTCGGGAAACCCCGGGGGTAAGGTGGAGCCCTCACTTGCCGAGGGATTCGAGGTATTTTGGGGTGAGGGGTTTTTTAAAGGGAAATGAATGAACTTGTGAACTTTGAATGAAATTCAAAAAGTCTAGAAAAAAAAATCATTCATCATTGATAATTTTTCCCATTAATTATAACTTTGATGAGTGTAGGAAATTAAATGCATCAAATTTTTTCTTTAATTATTTTTTTAAACGACAGTCTCTCTTTTGACTAGGGTGGTTCGACTGGACGCGCCATTTCGGGCACGCAGAAACATAAATTATTTGTTACAAATGTTTGACACTGACGATAATTTTTATATTCGACGTAGAATTTTTATGTATTTTTTCTAATTTTTCGAGATCGTTTCTAGATTTTAGTCTTCTTCCTAACCATGAAAAGTTCATTTTCTCGTAAGACTCTGTGTTATTTTTGCAATTCTAGATTAACTAGATTAATTATTATTAATAATACTAGACTGACGATTGATCACAAACTCAGCCAGAATGTTTTTATTCATATTAATTTTCGTTTGGAATTTATTTCAGATTTTAATCTTCAAAATTAAAGTTATGTTTGTACTACCTTAAAGCAGTATGAAAAAACTCCTGAAGTAGCATAAAAAATGAATTCAAAAAGCCCAAAAAAAATTATTCATCATTGATAATTTTTCCCATTAATTATAACTTTGATGAGTGTAGGAAATGAAATGCATTAAATTTTTTCTTTAATTATTTTTTTAAACGACAGTCTCTCTTTTGACTAGGGCGGTTCACCTTAACACGCCATTTTAGACATGCAAAAACATGAATTATTTATTACAAAAAAGTTTGACACTAGCGATAATGTTCATATTGGGTACAGCATTTTTATTTATTTTTCCTCATTTTTCGAGATTTTCAGTAGATATTAATGTTCTCCCTAACCTCGAAAAGTTAATTATCTCATAAGGCTGTAATATTTAATTCTGTAATATTATTCTTCAAAAATTGTTTTGTATTTTGTATTTGAAGTTTATGCGCGTTTAGCGCCAAGTATAGTAGGTCAAGGTCAGGAAGGTCACAAGGATCGGAGAGGCTGTGAAGGGTCATTTGAGGTTTCAAGGGCTACCAATCCTTCGGGGATTATTCAGAACTAGTAGAACTATAAACAATTTTTTTAGTTCATTGTTATTCGGTCGTGCCCATGACGTCGGCAGCGTCTCTGGGCCAATCAAAGAGAGTTCAGGGGACTCAGGAGGACTCCCAGTAGAGAATATCCCAGCCCTCTAAAAAGGTTCAAAAGCCCTTAAAAATAAACGTGGGTCCTCTGACCCACGCTGAAAGGAAAATAATATCATAAATAGAATTTTTTCTAATCACTAATTTTAGGATTTTTTGTCCTCATCGGGACCTTCCGACCAATCAGACGGGGTTAAGGTCATTCGTAAATACAGAAGGTTTTTTTGAACCTCCGAAAAGGTTCACGGGATCCCAAGGGTAAGGCAGATCCCTGACTTGCCGAGAGATTCGAGAATTCAGGGCTGAAGTGTAAATAAATAGAATTTTAGTTATAGACGTTCCTTTTGGGGGTTTCGGGGCTTTACAGGGATTTTTTAAGAGTCTTTGGGGTATCGTGAGGGTGTCAGAAGGTTTTGTGTGACGTTAGAGGGGCTGAGAAGTGTCATAGTGAGCGTGAAGTCAAGTACAGTGACAAGTGTTGTGACTTTTGGATTCATAACCTGAGTTCCGAGAGAAGTGAAAGCTGGAAAGTTGAGATTTTCGCAAATCGAGGTGAGTTTTCTTTATTATTTTGGGGGGAAGCGGCTTTTTTGGAGGGTTTGAGGTGGCGGGGGGGTTCATAGGGGGTGCGAGGTGCATTTTCGAGTGAATGAAAGTTCTGAGTTTTTTCATTTTTTATTTGTTGTTTCTTTGTTTTTTCTATTTTCTCTGGTTGCTGTTTTGTTTTTGAGAATTTTTTGGCTGGGTGGGGGTTGGGGGTGGTTTTGGCCCTGGGGTAGGGGCGGGATTCTAAAGGAATGGGGGAAAATGAGGAAAATGATTTAGAGTTTTGGAAAATTTCTTCGGTTAGGACTGACTGATATTTTTTCTGAGCGAAGAATCGACGAAAAAAAAACATTCCGCCGACGGTTGAGTGATTTTAAAATATTTTTGGGGGGTTTTGAGACTTCTAGAGGATGATTTAGGGTTCTTCATGAGCCCCAAGTCTTCAGAAAGGACTGTAATACCTCAGAAAGGATGAATTCAATTGTTCACTCCAATGTTTCAATTTTTGTACGTAAAAACATTGAGGAAAAAATAATTATTTCAATTTTTTTTAAAGATTCTGAACATTGCAAAGAATGTTCGAGGTTTGGGGCATTGTTTTGGGGTCAATTGTAACCCCAAAATAATAACAAAGTTCCTTCATCCCTGGAGAAACATAATTTTGCAGTAAAAACAAAAATTTTTAATTATTTTAATTTTTTTAAATAAATATTTCCCTATTATTCTCGTCTATTTTTAAATTTCTGAAGAATACCCTGGGGTGATGGATAACCCCAGTCCCCAAAAACCCTCAAACAATTCAAAAAATCTTTTCTATTATTTCGTTTTTTCAATAAATCAATTTCTCAGAAACATCTTGAAAAAATCATTTTAGTTTCATAAATTAAATTTTAAATTGAATTGAATCTTAAATTAAATTCAATTAAATCTTGAATTAAATTTAATTAAATCTTAAATTAAATTTAAATAAAGTTAATTGAATTGATCGTTCACTTAAAATTTCCGAGGTTTAACAAACACTCATTACATGCACCTCATGCCCCACATCCTCCGGGTTTGCGGTTTCCCAAGGGTCATGACCCCTCGCCACCTCAACCAATCCCTCATTTCCCCGAATAAGCGCATTAATTCCCAGAAGTCTAATTCTTGACACTAAAAAAATAAAAAATAACAATCCTCAAAACATCCGCGAAATTGCGGAAATTTGGAGTTCACTGACACCAATGTCAGTTCAGGGTCGCGTGTGCGTCCCCTTGGCTCCGATTTTGGTGAGAGACCAGAATTCGAATGTTTATTAATAAATTGGTGATTCGTGTCAAAGTGACGAGAAATGCAGTTCCGATGATTATTCTCGTTCCCACGTTATTTCCGCGATACCTTCTGGTGGTCGTGACGTGCTGCCCCCGTCCGCCACGTCTCTGAGGCACGTGCCAAGGTCCCCAAGGCACTTTCGAGTGGTTAGAGTCACTGGGCGGCGGATTTCGCGATAATAAATACCATTTTCTGGCGGTAAATCGTCGAAACAATCGGGATTTTCGCAATATTTATCATTCGAAATGGTTGTGGAGCATCATGTTGAGGGTTACGAGCCCTTCTTCAAGTTCATGGAGGACCTGAAGCCCCAGGGGCAGGTCATTGTCCTCTACAGTGGCAGCAAATTACCTAGTGGACACAGTTGGTGTCCTGATTGTGTCGAAGGTAATTATCGTTAAAGAGAAATTACCAATTACCGATTTTTTATTGAGACTTCAGGCGAAAGCCCATTGAAGCTTATCCATATAAATACATTCGTTTTCGTCAATTATTGGTATGGTTTTATACCTTCAAAAAATCAATTTTCAAATTTCGTTTTTTTTTATTTTTCCCAATTTTTCATTCTTTTTTCTAATTTCAAAATTCATTGCTTATGGTCCGTAAATAGTCGATAAAAGAAATGAATGGAAAAATTTTAAAAATGAGAAATTTGAAAAATTAAAAAAAAAAATTGAAAAAAATTTTTTTTGGATAGAACGGATCCCACCTCCATTCCAATTTTTCGATATTTTAATTTTTTAATATAATAAACACCTATTGTTGCGTTTTTAAATTTTTCCCAATGGTTCATTTTTTTTTCTAATTTCAAAATTCATTATTTATGGTCCGTAAATAATCGATAAAAGAAATGAATAGAAAAATAAAAAAATTAGAAATTGAAAAATTGAAAAAAAAAAATCGAAAAAGAATAGTTTTGGATAGAACGGATCCGACCTCCAGTCCAATTTTTTAATATTTTAATTTTTTATTATAATAAACACCTATTGTTGCGTTTTAAAATTTTTCCCAATTGTTCATTTTTTTTTCCAATTTCAAAATCCATTATTTATGGTCCGTAAATAGTCGATAAAAGAAATGAATAGAAAAATAAAAAAATTAGAAATTGAAAAATAAAAAAAAAATTTTGAAAAAAAATATTTTTGAATAAAACGGAGCCGACCTCCAGTCTACTTTTTTAATATTTTCATTTTTTATTATAATAAACACCTATTGTTATGTTTTTCTCATTTTTCCATTTTTACAGTTTTCATGTGACTGAATTAAAAAAAAAAATCTATAGGTAATACCATTTTCCATCGCAAAATTTTCTGAATTCTTAAAACAAAATATTTTCAAAATTTAAAATTCGAATTTTCACTATGAATGAGTTTTAATGGTGAAAAATGAAAAACAGGCAATTTTACATAAAATCCATCCGTAAAAAAACGACCACTGTGGGTTTAATGACAAAAAAAAAACAAAATCAACATTAAAACTCATTATTCATAGTGAAAATCCAAATTTAACATTTTGAAATTTCTGTTTTTTAATTCAGAAAATTTCCGAATACTTCCACGATTTTAGACAAAGTAGTGGAGCAAAACGCATTCATGACCAGTGGTTGGAATCCAAAATATTTTCAGCTTTCTAATGACGCATTTGGAATTTTGATAGCTTTGTTCATTCTCGAGATATCGAAGATTTTATGGGCATTGATAAGGAGGAGATTGTGGTTGAGGGGAATGATTCGGTAATGGTTTTGTTATTTTCCATTACAGCTGAACCGTTCATTGAGAAAGGACTCAAAGCTGCTCCTGAGAATGTACATTTCGTTCATGTTGATGTGGGGGATAGAGCATTGTAAGAAATTCAAGTAGAAATTAAAAAAAAAACGATCTTTTATTCATAAAAATCAAGAATTTAAACAAAAACATCGTCTTTCACCAAAAACAATTTATTCAATTTTTTCCATCACTTCTGATGACTTGTGAGAGATCTTGCAGGTGTGGAAAAGTTGTTGTTCACGTGAGGATGATGAAAATAATTTTTTTTTATAGCTGGAAAGACCACAATTGCCCGTTTCGCTCTAATCCAAAGACGAAATTGAATGTTTTGCCGACATTATCGTTATGGGGCACTCAAAAACGTCTGGAAGGTGATCAGTGCCTCGATGTGGGCCTTATCGAAATGCTCCTCGATGAAGACGATTAGATTACGATAAGATGATTTGTGATACTCATGTACATTTCCATTTTCTACTCAGGAGAATTAAAACACGGTGAAACGGAAAAGGAGTCTTAATATTCTCAAGCCCTAATTCAATCCCTGAACCCGAAAATTTGAAATTTTCAAGTGAACATTTCTTGAATGTTTTTCTAATTATTGAAACAATGAGTTTTTAATTTTTTTTTTCATTAGAGGAGAGTGTGCCTGTACAGCTCAGCGGGTAATACCGCTCACCCGATTTTCTCCACAACCATCAACTTGAAAATTTCTTTCTGTTCCTGATCATGAAGAATTTGATGATAGGATGTGATTGTCGGAAAAATTTCACTTTATTTACCACTTTAAATATGAAAAAACACGTAACGAAGTTTTGAGGTCATTACAGTGCAAAATTTGTGGACTTGTAATTAAGGTTTTTGATAGTTTGAAACACTGAATTCTCATATTAAACTGTGGTTATTCGATTCGTGGTACTTTCACGCGTAATTTGAGACCAATTCGAACTCAAAACTCCACTCATGTCAATAATTATCAATAATTTTGTTGACGCCGAGCGGAGCCGGTAATACCGCTCATAGGATCGGCCACGTAGTTGCTCGACAGCACTCGAGTACAGGTTAGGTTGGGGCGCGAGCGACACACGCAAAACCCTATGAGCGGCATTGGAATCGTGCCGAGCGGTATTACCCGACGGCGGGTAGTACCGCTCAATAGGCTCTCTCTTTTATTTTCAATCAATTTTGTGGAATCTAAGGAGAATTAGGCGTCTACACTTCGAGAATAACGAGTTCAATAGTTAAAGAAGTCTCACAAATACGTTTTTTATACTCAAGTTGAAATATAAAATATAAAACTGGCATTTCCCCTTAGGTGGGCGGTACAGGCACACCCTCCCCTATTCTGACCACACATAGGCAGAATTATAAATTTTAAATGAAGTTAAATTTTGAAGAAGGCAATAACTAATAACACCCTTAATTTTAAATTATTAAATAAATCACCAATTAAATATTTAAATTCTGAGTTATTTTCTCAATCAATAATTGAGTTCGGAGGATTGCCAATTATTTGGTTAATCAAAAATCGCTTTTAAAAAATTTAGAAATATTTGCCCAATCGTCAATTTAAAATTCCATATTTTGAATTATTCAATTCACAGTCCCATATTTCAATTGTTCAATTCATAGTCAATTGAAAGTTTAAACCATCAATTATTTTATAAATTTCAAATTTTAACCCAAATATTACTAAACCTAATGATTGATGCCGATCCCTGAGTCTGACTTTTCACACGAAAGACCTTAATAAGGAAAATATTCGAAGCGAAGCGGATTAACTTTTACTCTTGCACAATTGGCGATCTTTATTCACTAGTTTCATAACGATTGATATATTTACAACATTCAGTGATAAATCCTTGATAATTGCACTGCAATTATAAAATAAAAGACATCGGAATTGTAGACGATGTCTTCGAAATAATGAATGGGAATTCATCCATAACCTCAAAATCTGTTGAAACGATGTCAACTTGTCATTTCTTATATTCAATACATTAAAAGCTTTCATTTCTTATATTATCTCCTCTAATTTTCCTCTGACTTCTTATATCGAAGACAATACAATCTCTCATTTCTTATATCATCCCTCAGGTGGCCCTCTAGTTTCTTACATTCAATTTATGAAACCTTCTCGTTTCTTATATTGTCTCCTTCCATCGCCCTGTAATTTCTTATATCGAATATAATACAATAACCTCTCATTCCTTACATAACTTTCTTTCACAAGGGTCATGGGAGTCAGAATAAAGGTCACGAGGGTCGAAATAAGGGCCAAAAGAAGGGTCATGAGGGTCAGAATAAAGGTCACGAGGGTCAAAATAAGGGTCACGGCGGTCAAAATAAGGATCATGAGGGTCAGAATAAAGGGCACGGGAGTCAAAATAAGGGTCATGAGGGTCAGAATAAGAGTCGCAAGGGTCAGATTAAGGGCCCAAATAAGGGTAACAAGGCTCAGATTAAGGGTCTAAATAAGTGTCACAAGTATCAGGTTAAGGTTTACAAGTGTTAGAGTAAGAGACATGAGGGTCAAAAACCAAGGGTCACAAACTAAAGGTCAAAATAAGGGTCTCAATATCTCTCTATATTGTAAAAATCCAAACCGACTTTTGGTGATGAAAATTTTGTGGTCGAAATTATGACTCCAAAATTAAGGGTCAAAATAAGGGTCACGAGGGGTATGAGGGTCACGAGGGACAGATTAAGGATCAGAATAAGGATCATGGGGATTGGTGAGCGAAGCGAGCTGTAGAGCTTAACCTCTCATTTCTTATAAAAATATAATAAATCAGAGGTGATTTCCATGAACCACCTACAATATAAGAAACGGGAGGTTTCACCGTACATGAAAAAATCACAAATGTCTAGACGTCCTGAAATGCGAGTTCCTGAAGCCCTTCAGTGGGTTCAGCCAGCCTGACATTGTAGTGAATTTTTTTGTTCCTCAAGAGGCTGTAAGAATTATCGAAGACGACTGAGTAGGTCCCAGGCTCCTCGCACGTCAGGACGCCAACCTCATCCAATTGATGTGCCGCAACCCTGCGCACTGGAATGAGCTCCACCTTCTCCCCACCCGTTCCCCTCCTCAAAATCCCGAATCTAATGTCATGATCTTCGGAGCGGAACTCCCAGCTGAGAATCGATCCCAACTTCTCGGGGACAAAATCAATTTTCATCTTGTCACCCTTCTTCACGACGACTGTCGTGAAGTCCTCGTTCGTCTTATCGAAGTTCTTCTTGTACATCTCCTTCGGGATCTTGCCACCCTGACAGATTTTCGATCGAAGTCGGGGATTCCCGTCCGGATCTGTTAGGGTCCCCCCGAAGTACGCGGGGATTTGATTCTCCGGGATGACTTTTAAGACCGCGGGGCGCCATCTGTTGGGGTCCGCCTTGTGGATCTGAATTTTTGAGATCGTGTACTCGTTCATGAATTTTTTGGCGATTGAGAAGCCCAGGGCGAACATCTTCGGGGCTGGAAAGTATTTTGAGGTTATGTAGGGCTAGCTGTTGATGATTTTTGGGATTGAGGGTTGATGATGGGGGTTGTGAAGTAGTTCAGTGGAAAGCTAGAGAAATTTGCGATTGCAAACTCTGCGTGGTCGTCCATTTCGGGTGAGAATTCGGAGAGATATGAAAGAAAGATTTTTTTTTTTGAGGTTATGTTGAGAACTTAAAGGGGTAAAGGGTTGGAAAGCAGTTCACTAGATGGCCAAGGAAATTTCCGATGGAAAACTCTGGAAGATCGTTCATTTTGGTTGAGAATTGGAGGAGATATGAAGAAAATAGTATATTATGATACATGTGAAAAAAAGTAGTTTTTGATGAGTGTGATGGCACTCGTCAGGAAGTACATTTTTCATATGTATCGTACGATATTTTATGATGCTGGTGAAAAAAAGGCGGTCCTTTGCGCGCCAAGCGTGCAGTGAAAAAAGTGCTCTTTTTTCACTTGTATCATAAAAGTTTTTTTCAAGTTAGACATTTTTTTTTAGGTTATGTAGGGAACTTGAAGCGATGAAAGGGCTGTCAGACTGTATTTCTCATCGCAAATTTTTCTGGCTTTCCAATAAGAGTCCTTGAGACATGACGAAAAGTAGTTTTTGAGGTTAAGAAAATTTTTTGAGTTCATGTGGAGAATTTGAGGAAACGGAGGAGTCATCAACCAGATTTCTTGAGCAGAAATTCTCTGGGCTATAAAATACCACTAGTTTTAATGTTCTCCTATATCAGGTTCTGAAAATAACCTCAAAAAATCGAAAGGACAAACAATTTTTTAGCTACCTAACCTTTCAACCTTTCGGTAATTTCTGAATTCTGAAGTACTTACCATTAATTATAAAACAAATCTTGAGTATCTCTGGGTAATTAGCCTCGTACATTTGAATCAAGGTGATTATCGTCTCTCCAGCTGAAGCCATAAAATAAAGAACAGTTGGGAAAAACAAAATTATGAATTGAAACAGGTCAATTGCTGGTCTAACGGGATGAATAAGTCACCTGGTCTCCACATGAGTGGCCGGAGATTAAAGTCTTGCATGTCGAATATGACTGTTACTTGATTCGCTACTGGACCGTGCTTCTCGGCCTGCTCCCGGCAGAGCCGCATGAACCTTTCTAGCGCCTTTATTGTCATTCTTATCATGTCCCTCCGCGATACCACGTGGAGAATTCCGTACATATCCAGTCCGGAGAATGGAATGATGACGACTAACCCCAAAAAAATCTCACATGTTCACATTTTAAAGATTAAATTTTTTTTTTAATTGAGGATTTTTGAAAAAGTAGTAAAATTTTTGAAAAATGGAGATTTTTGAAAAAATTCAAAAAAATTAAAAAATGTGAAAAAAAGGATTTTTTTTTGAAAAATTTCAATTTTGAAAAAAGAAATCAATTTTTAAAAAAATCAATTTTTGAAATTTTTTTTTTTAATTGAAAATTTTTTAAAAATTTTGAAAAATGAGAGAAATTGAAAAAAAATTGAAAAAACTGCCAAAGTTGAAAAAAAAATGAAAAATTGGAAATTTTCATTTCATCACCTGGTGCTCCATCCTTATCAAACCCCGAATGTCCATATGGTAAATAATCTTTCAACACCTGTGGTTCCTCCCAATCATCGAGACTATCGACCTCCCACTTCCTCCTCCACTCCAGCGACTACAATTGAAATAAAAACCATGGAAAAAGAGAAAAAAATTAATTGGAGATAATTATCACATGAACTTTCAGTAGAAACGTGTGATTATGTCCTTAGAGGCGTTGATTATCTGCAACGAGTTGCTTTATACGTAATTGTGAGCAAACTAGACTCATCGCGGGTGAAAGTATTGGAAACTAGTGGCTGATTCAGTTAAGAGACATAAACTCCAACCATTTTACAAGTTTTATGATTTAATCATATAATTTATCATCCCATTCACGTCAATCTTATCACAATTTTCTCGGCATTTCGAGGCTCCGAGGCACTAGACGGAATCGGGATCCACCGTTGGAAAGCCGGGGAAATTTCCGATTCTAAACCCTGGTTATGAACCCATTTTGCCCCGTTATTCTTTCTAAATCCACGAAAAAACGTTTCTAATTTGTTAAATCGTTTATTAATGCTCTCTTTCGAATTAAGGGGGCAAAACGGATTCATGACCAGGATTTGGAGACGGAAATTTCCCCAGCTATCACCTGAGACGCCGCAAAAAATTTAATTGCTCTGGTGTTCCTGGAAAATCCGCAATTTTGATTAGGGAGTTGGGAAATTTTGATCCTTATCAACTCGTTTTTTTTTCATGCTATGAATTCATGAATTTCTTGCGAAATTATTACTTACATCACGCAGCATTTTCTCCGCTGCAACGGGGTCCCATTTTCTAGCTGTAAAAAAATTGATTGAAATCGTTATTGCGAGATTTTTAATAAAATTTGATTGATCGGGGGGAGAAATGAGGTCTTTTGCTGCAATCATTTTCGCATTACAATGGAAAAACAATTTTTTCGCATTACCTCGGAGCCAACGGAGGAGGAAGTGGTCGTCATGGTGGGGCTGAAGAACATCCTGGACGCTTCGTCTGAACTGTAAAATGATTTAAAAAAAAAAGATTATTTAAATGGATGGTCAGAATGACCCATGAAATGAATTAATAGTAGGGATATTTCCTGGAGTTTTAAAATTTTTTTGTTTCATGATTTGTGTCGAATTATGTCTAAATTTGTTCTAAATCTTTCCCCATCGTTTTTTCTATTTAAAAAGTGATTGAAAAATAATATTTAAAAAAGTGATCAGATGACCTTGAATGACAGTGTGATCAAGAGAAATGAAGTTATGTGGTTTTAGTATGAATAAGGCCATTTTTTTAAAGCAATGTTATAAATGAATGGACAAAAGGCTGATTGATCATCCTCGATCATCAACTTCACTTTAACCTCGTCACTAGAGCGGAAGTAGCGCCAGTTTATCAACTCAACGCTGGAGCAATGTTGGCTGACAACGTTGGGCCAACGCTGGCAACCAACACTACCCCAACATTGACTGCCAGCGTTGAACTAATGTTGGTTGCCAATATTGGGGAGATGTTGGTTTCCAGCGTTGAGGCAATGTTGGGCCGATGTGGCCGACCAACTTTGGGCCAGTGTTGGCAACCAACGTTGGGCTAGTGCCGGCAACCAACGTTGGGCCAATATTGGCTGCCCACGATGGGGCAATGTTGGTTACCAACGTTGGGGCAATGTTGGTTGCCAACGTTGGAACAATATTGACTTCAATGAATCATTGAATTCAATTCAAAACACGTCGTCATAGAAATAATATTCGGAATCAAATGACTAATTTATCAGCAAAAATATATTGACCATATTGTGACGAAAGCAATTTCCTACGTGCTTATGAAACAAACAAAATAATAGAATTGAAGAATTTTTCATGTATTGAGTGTATTGCCTGAAAAAGTATAAAATAGTCCTATTCATTTACCAAGGAATTCGCGGTTATTCTGGGAGTCCTAATGCCTTTTCAGGATTAAGGATGTTCTATACACCCTTTCTGCCAAAATTCACGTTTTTTAAATTTTTCTGGCAAACTTATGATGGAATTGACGTGAAAAAATATAACGTTTTTGTGTTTTGTCATTATTTAATGACTGACGAAATTTTAAGGTGGTGCGAACATTTTCCTGCGTTTTCTCTAAACTTTTAAAAAGAATCACAAAACTGTATAAAAAACGC